AAACCTACATAAGGGCGTTGAGCTTGCGCTTGACAGCTTGTTTTTTTCTAACCGGTATGTGTGTTGGCCGCTGTAGCTAAAGGGTTATATACAACTTTCTATAAGGAACGCGATAAATTGCCAAATAAAATGTGAAATGTCATAACTGGGCATTTGGTAAATCACCTTTGCCAGATTATTTTTCAGATGGTAGTAGTAATATTGGTTTGGTACAAAATCTAATTACGAAGCATTCACAATAATTAATAACAGTGAAACAGTTTCATTATTCACGTTAAAATTTAAAGTACATATCGTCGTTTAAAGTGCAAAACCGAGTATCAACAAAATGCAAAGCCGCGTATCAGCAAAATGCAAAACCGCGTATGTGAAGTTGTAGAAATTGTTTTCTAGAGCGTAAAAACACTCATATTTCAAAATGGTTCTCTTTTTTATAAAGCAATCGCATTTCTGGCTAGTATATTTCAGGACGCATGGATGAGGATTGAACCAAGAGCTTGTGGGGGCAAATCCAATTTTTGGCAGCCAATGTCAGTTACGCGGTTTTGCGGAATGACGATACGCGGTTTTGTACTTTAAACGACGATATACCATTTCTAGTAACAGTTTTTAGTAATAAAAAGTTTTAGTAATTTGAAGTGGAATTCCATGATCTTAAACGTTTAAGAACCCCTGGGCTAGACGATCATCTTTATTAATATAGTGAGTGTCTATAATGACGACTGGGTTTGTTTGCACTATGCGTCAGGGGCTGACAGATGAACTAGGCAAAACGGACAGACGCTTTGATCGCAGAAAATCACCCGCAGTGGACGGTTCTGTAATTATATTCACTTTCCTTTGTTAATGTGACTTGCCGCATTGCGATGTACATACCCTGTCGGAAACTCCGTAACTTTGAATGCAATTTATTTAATAATAAAATACAAGCAAATAGTTGAAATTTTTCTTCTTTTTTTTTTATTGTAAGCAACTGACTTTATTAACATGGTGATGTCCTGGGAGCAAATCAAGAGACGGACAGTGCATATGTATAATTTCAGCTCATATCAAATACATTTGGCTTGAATAATTTGAAAAATAATTTTTAATACTAAAAATAAATCAAAATAAAAAATTAACTTTTTAGTATTCCATATATAAATATGTTTCTGCAGCCGGCGATTCAACACAAAATCTCCCGAAACATAAGAAAACAATAGCAAGCACCTCTATAAACTCAGCTACATATGTACATATAGACGAAGTATGTAAACTTGTTTTCAAATATTTAGTTAGAATTACATTTTTTACTACTTTAAAAAGCATTTGGCTTAGTGGGATTTAAACTCAGTTGCCGAAATGATAAGTAAAAATACTTTATTTCCAATCACATTTCCATGTGGTTAATTTAAGATTTATTCCGACAGGGATAGACATATGTACATACATATGTAATGTGATCTATTTTAAAACATCAAATGATGTAGCGAAATTGTTTAATTTAATCTTGTTTGAAGAGAAAATATTGCGGAAAGTTATAGTGGGCTTTTAAATTGTCACCTTTATACGTATGTGCATACATACATTAGTATGTAATACAGTCTACTCATATGGTTTGCTTCGTATGGCGAAATTTGTTTTAGCTAATGAAGTCCTTTTTCTGACATTTTAAATGTTTATAGGAAACACTGTCGATGGATCGCTTCCAGGAACGGAACCAGAGAGAAATTTCGGAGGAAGGGGACTTTCAGAATAATGTGCCTTATTCAGTGATTATCTTAATATACAGTGAACCAATAGAGTCTTCGTACAGCACCTAAATAAGGTGTTAACAACAAATGGTACTGATCAGCAGGAATTTTCAAAGAGAATGAATTAAGTTTCATTTACTAGGTATACTTTTTAATATAGTAACAACAAGTTTTTTTTTCAAAGTTATTAGCGTAAAGCTATAAAAAACCCGTTAATTTTCGCACACTTAAGTCTTCGTACGATTATGAGTTAATTAATAGTTGCGTTCCAGATAACTGTCAAACAACTTAATATACTTATATAATATGCAAATTTTATCTAAAATCTGTAAGCTAAAGAAATTTTATAAAAATATCTTGAGCGGAAATATATATATTTTTGTTTCCGAACGATCTCTGTATGTGATCTACTAATATGACACTCACATATTTCAGATGTAAAAAAAATAGTTTATTTATTTATTTTAGTTACAAAACATATAATGAATACGTTTTCGCTTTTGTTTGAATAATTTTTTTTTATAATGGTGAAATTCTCTTTGTTTGGTTTTAAATCAGGTCCGTATTTGCGCACACATGCTCCGCTCACACACACGCCAGACCACATTCAACTTCCCACCCGACCAACGTACACGAGAATGCATCCGTTTTAGACATTTTAGCAACACTTTCACGTACAAAACTATTGAGAACGGATTCCGAAAAATTATCGTACCTATCGCTCAGTTTGCGGCAGCAGAGCTCTCGTTCTCGTCATTCGTTTTCAAAAGTTTTTGCGTAGTGTTTTCGATAGTGAAACCGTATCTCAGACGGAAGTTATTTCGATCCGTTTTGTTATCGAGAAATTAATTAAAACGGCAATGTTTCCGATCTGTTCGATTATCGAGAAAGTAGCGAAAACGAAAGTTATTCGATCCGATCATCCATCGGGAATGCATCGAAAGAAGAAACGTAAGCATTTATTAAAATTACTAGTTTACGATAATTTGTGCAGTTTTTTCCCCGTTTATTCCCATATTAAAAGAGTGCTTTTAAAATTTTAAGAGTTTTATATTTAACATAATAGAAAATTGCAAGAGTTAAGTTTTCGGAAGTTTTAAAAAAAACTAAGTTTTATAAACGTATTTAAATGCAATTTTGGTAAATGTTTTAAAAATTAAAAATAATAAATATCGATTAGTTAAAATTTATAACATGTATGTACATGCCATTAAAACTTGATATTATTTTAGAAAAATACACAACAACTGGCTGTATAAACAAATCATTAAATTGTTCTTATGATATGTTGTACTGTGTTCAATTAGGATATGTAAATATGCACTCACAAATTTTTCAAATACTTATTCGTTCTTCATCAAATCTATTTATTTCTTCTAAATTTGAGAAAGGAGATCAGGGAACTATTTCACGGTCAATGGATACTTCTCGTGGAAGTAATCCCGTTCGTATTAATGCAATTGCCACGAACGGGATTTTTGAATTGTGCCATTTGTGTGATGAGGATTGTTAGTTTACTAGTTTAAAATATTTATTCTGCAAAGGAGTTTCAATACTCCGATTTATTATATGGTTTCTTAAATTGTTAAATTTGAATTATTCCATTAACACATTTTACGTTTTTAATGTTTTGAAAAATTCTTACAAAATGTTTACTAAAGTGATGTCTCTTCTATATACTTTTTCGAATATTTTGTCTTAGAAAAGTTGGTGAAAAATTATAAATCGAATAAATTCTCGATACAATCGACGAATATAAAAGCAAAAATACAAACTTCCATTTAAAATACGAGGATTTTAGGTGAGGCGGAGCTCGAGGGTCTTGGTTTTGTATCACCGCGTTTTCATTTAAAATTGACTTTTCATTTGAATTGCTTTCGTGAAACCGGCAGTAAATTTTGTCCATAAATCGTGTGTTTATATGACCGATTTGAATCCTTTATGGCCGAAATACTGAAATTTAAAAATGACGGCTACGACCTAATCAAATAAATAAAATCTTATTACACTAGGTTAACATATACATAAGTAGATTATCCTCATTTTCGAGTAAACAAAAATGGACGCTAGCAAAGAAAAGAGGTTTGTAAAGTTATTTTTAAACAGAAAAAAGTGATTACGGTGGCACAGAGAAGGAACCTAACTTTACATTGAGATGTGAGAATAACAAGCACAACAAATTTGACAGACAATAATGTAAGATTTGCCTGTGTAAACGGGTGATTAAAAAACGAGCTTTGATTGAGAAATTTATATGTGAACAAACTTTTAAATAAGATCGAAAAATTAGAAATCGCAACAATTGCGCACCTTGATGTTTAAAACTGTTAACCGTCGATTAAAAAAGAATCGGAAACGGCCGTTTTTGGCCGATTCTTGATTGAGGTCTTGTTGTTTAGTTATTTGATTTTGTTTTTCTTTGTTATTGTAAAAATTTATTAAAGCATATGTTCTTGAAATTAAATTATATTCAGGATTAAATCGGCAAAGAGTCGGCCGATGCTTGGTCTGATTAAAACCTGATTTTAATTAATTTCAAGAACAAATGCTTGTAAAAACTTTATAATAGCAATAGAAAAACATAATCAAATAACTAAATAACATAACCTCATTCAATAATTGGCCAAAATCGGCCCATGTCGATTCTTATATAAAATGATATCAGAAACGGCCAAGCACAAGAACGCTTATTTGCAGCAAAGCATTTTTTTCATTAAAGTAGCGAAATAACAGCTGAGATAATGCAACACTGAACGTACAGTACGAACAAAAATTAGTTGGCACTACATATATCGTCATCTCTTTCTCGCACTTTTTTGGTAATTCCTTCTGTGACTGTAGATGGTTCACCAGGAAAGAGGAAGAAGCCTGGTAAGGCTAGGAATGAAACGATACCTTAAATACATCGTATCTAAAGTATCGATACCTTCTCATATCGATACTTTTGGCTATAAAGCTATTCCTTGTGAACTAAATAAGTTAAATTTTGTGTTTTTATGCCATAAGTTAACTATATCTGGGAATCCTAAACTAAAACCATTTGTTTAATGATGAATGGTATTTAAAACAAACAAACTTTTTAAGCAGCCATGTAAATCAACGTACTTCATATTCGGAATAAGAGTGTAGGAAAAATTGCCAAAGCCAAACTTGCGGGAGTATCGGGTGTCAATACGAGTATTTGTGTTTCGATACCTACTCAGTACTTGGTATCAAAGAATTGATACCAAAATTACTTGGTATCGAGCGAAAAGTATCGATTGCGAACTTGTATTTACTGGTATCGTTTCATCTCTAGGAAAGGCAGGAAAAACTCTCGTTGAAAAATTAAAGTTTACGCAAATTTGTATTGGAAATTTGTAAAACTTTTTGCAAATAGTTTTAAAAACAGCTTGTGCATTTCCGGAGTTAAAGTAACAGGTGTGTTTTCTAATCAAAATTTTTCGTTGAATCATATTAGAAGTCGAATGTTTTGGAAGCAAACAATTGATTCTGATTTTCCACAAACTAGCAAAAAAATGTTCAGTCCTTATAAGTGCTGTGAAATTACTTTTAAGTTTTTCATACATATTTTGCATTTGAATTTGTACAAATTTGCCAAAAATCTAACATATCCCCACATAAGTATGTAAATATGAGTTTCCTTCTTTTGTAGAAAAAGGAAAATGTCGCAAGGTTTAACCTCGCTACAGGGCGGATCCAACAAGGTGTTCATACAACGTGATTACAGCGAAGGCACCTCGGTCAAATTCCACACACGACTCCCCAGCGAACTAGAAGGCCTGGTGAGTAATCTGTCCATGACCTTGCTAGGCTAGTGACATACCTGCAAGTGTTTATATGATAGTTGTAATATGATACGCCCTTTGTGCAGGTTGAG